GTCCTGGGTTCGAACTCTGATAGGTGGGTGCGTACTGCCGATGATTCCCAAACTAGGCTGATGAAACAGCTGTCCAGTACTCCCTGTTTTTAAGTGGTTCTCTAACTGATATCAATCGGTGATCAACTCGTAAAAATAATCGCTTTATTCTATGGTTAATAACACAAAGAGTTGAGAATTTTTGAAGTATGTAAGTATTTGAATAAGGGCATTTAAGAAGACAAATTTCGCGAGATGATATCGTCATTTCGTAGTTTCTTTACAACAACCGCTTTACAACTAATATGGTTCACAATAATAAAATAAAGTGCATGGCAATTACTCCGCATCTCTTCCTCCCACATACCGAACATTTTCGATCCCTGTGCCTATGATTAAGGGATGAAATTCTGTGGAGTCTACTTCAAACTGTATCTACAAGTTCACACCTGCAGTTGCGGTGACACCTATGTATGTAGAACCAATAGAATGTTCCAATGTCGTCGGAAAGAACATGTTCCAAAATGGCTATTAAATCATATTGAAAATCCCAATGCCAGTAATCTGAATAGAAATCCAGCGTCATCCAATGCAAAACACTTATTAATGTCAGGTCACAAAATCAATATTAATGACTGTTTCACAATTATTTTATCACATAACTCTAATTCAAGGTTGGTTATTGAAGGTGATGGAAGCACTTTGGATTAATCACATACAGCCTAAACTGTGTGTACAAAAACAACACAATAGACTTCATTCTTCGCCTATTTAAAAATATGATTGGTCATTAGTATGTACTTTTGTTTTTATTTAACTGAGTAATTGTCATGAACTTTATTTTATTATTGTTAACCATGTTAGTTGTAAAGCGGTTGTAAAGAAACTACGAAATGATATCATCTCGCGAAATTTGTCTTCTTAATGCCTTATTCAAATTTATCAAAAAAGGACTAATAGTTTTAATTATCTAAGTATTGTGAAATATATTTTTCTGATATCCATCTTCAGTAATATCCGCTCCTATATGATACTGTATCAGCAACGTAAAAATCGATTCTTTATGCTTTGAATGCAGGAAATCGATATCTACATTCTAGTATATAGTTGGCAAAACTTCCTTGAGACATGCGAAGTCATTAAACTCTTCAAAGACGGAGAATAAAGTAGAATATATTCCCAATAAAGTGGGATAAATCAAAACTCTGTCCACAAGAATCACATATCAAACGATTTCCGGGGACAGTCAAAGGCCAAGATCACCTTCATTCACTCGAACAAAGTCACATGGTATAATACATTATCAGTGTACACACAACCCGCTAGAGGAGCACTAATTATTATTATTGTATCCTTTAATTCCTACAGGAACATAGGGCTTCAGCCGTGCGTCTCCATTGCGTTCGGTTCCCTGCTACAGTCTTCACCTGGGTCCATGTCTGCCCACACGTTTTCATCTCCTCTTCACATGACCTCCTCCAAGTCACCCTTGCACTGACGACCAACTCGCCGCTTCTCTTTCGGGTCCCACTCGAGCAATGGCTTGTCTAGTGATGTCACTTGATGGTTTATTTTCTTAGAGTATGGCCAATCCATCTCCATTTCTTCCTGCATATTTGTTTCACAATCGGTTCTTGCTGGGTTGGTTCGCTCATTGCCAGAGGTCTCTGTTGCTGATCATTTCTGGCCGGCCATCTGATCTTGAGTATCGAGCGAAGGCGACTGTTATTGAAGGTCTGTAGTTTGTTTGAGATACTCTTTATGACGCGCCAAGGCTCTGATCCGCATAGAAAGTAGCACTGACTTCACATTGGAGCACAAAAGTTAAAGATTATTCAGGGAGAAAGACAAATAATAATAAGGATAGTATGTGAAACCTTGAAGGAACTCATCTTCCTTCTGAGATTCAAACCCGCATCACGCAGTGCTGCAGTCAGAGACATTACTACTGATCTATTCAGGCTAGCGATAATTAGGATCAAATAAACATATGATATGCAAATGTCACAACACTGAGGCACAGTCTAGGGGATAAACGGATAATAATTACAAATTTAGCTGAAACGTTCAAATAAATATGAATATTGTACACCTCACTGGTCATGACTTCTCACTGAAACTCCAGGAAACTCCATCCTGTAGCAAGTCACCAGCGAGCATCAGATTAATTTTCAACATTTGGTTTTTACCAGTTTGACCACTCATGCATTGATATCAAGAAGCGCTGTACAGATGTTTCATCCTAGTTTTGGATTCATCGGAAGTACGTACCAAATGAGTTTCGAAATCAGGACCTTCGGGTTACGAGTCAAGCTCGTATGCCATTCAGCCACTGAAACCCAATTCAATTCCAGCTTTGACCACTTCGTGATATTTGGCGCAACCACCATTCAGAAGAGGATGGATTTCTCGGCGATGAATACTGTGATTAAATCATCCAGGAGGGATTTTCAGACGATTTTTCAGTTACGCGTAACATAAGCTAACTTACTGTTCAAACATTTCATTGTTTTTCTGGTGTTGTTGTACGTTTATGTGTGCGAGTGTGCGTATGTGCGTCGGTGGCACAGTGGTTAGGACTCTCGCCGACCATGCACATGGTCCGGGGTTCGATCCCCTGCCGGCGCACACCCAATATCTATGGTCGGCCTGTAAATTTGGGCTACCGATATCCATGCTGAAAATTCCATACTTGTACTAAAAATACGGTGTGGAATCAAGCTGTAATCAAAATAAAAAAAATAAAAATTAAAAATAAAAATAAATGTTCCTTGAGTTGGACTGTTCAGCTGTGAATACGTCAGCACCGAACACACAAAAATATACTGATAACAGCTTTATTCTAGACAGTAAAACATTTTCAGCGTATTTAAATTTCAAAATATCCACTCTTCGTACAAGACCTTCAAATAAAATGGCATTTCAACAGTCCGTCGTATGATGATGTATTGTTTCATCTAAAGTAATGTCCAATCCTCTACGATACTTTTCCCTCAATTCCCTCGAAAATTAATTCGTATTTTTTATTCCTTTACGTTCCCAGTGGAACATATGGTTTTGTAATAGAGCTTCGATGTTTCTGTAGTAGTGGCTTTATTTATACTGGTTGGGGTTCCTAGCCTCACGCACAACCTCCCCTCTTTATTGGCCTTACTACCAGCTTTTTGATGGTTTAGGAGTGTGTTGTCCTGGCTACGGACCACATGCACAGTTGGCTGACGTTCTACCGCTGTACAATCGACGCACATAAAACCATGTGTCAGAGGTGATATTAGAACTCGCACCCCCATCGTGGACCAGAACACCGAAAAAATTACTCTTGATATTCAAGTATTGGTTAGTAGGGATTTGGTTGATTGGTTACACGATTTCATCATGAGCTGACATATGTTAGAGAACAATCGGAAAACCAACAGGGAGTACTGGACAGCTGTTTCATCCTAGTTTTGCGCTCATCGGCAGTACGCACCCATTGCGGTTCGATCCCGGTCCATCGCCTTAGAGCTCTTGGCCACCCCGACCTCCTGGTTCGTATTTTGCAAATCAAATTGACGATTTGTAATATACACAGCCGGCTTTCTCGATTTCTTTCGATGCCATACAGTCAATTTAAATAAATTTGATTTCTAAAGGAAATTGTGATGAAATTTTTCCACACCCCTTCCCCGAAAAGTGTGAATTTCAAACCGTGAAATTGATCTAATGACTGCAAACTGGATATAAAGTGCGTCGGTGGCACAGCGGTTAGGACGCTCGCCGACCATGCAAATGGTCCGGGGTTCGATCCCCGACCGATGCACTCCTTTACCTCGCTAAGCCAGAAAAATTGCAGGTGAAGAGGAAAGGTTGGGCATGAGGCTAGCAATCCCATCCTGTAAAATAAACACTGCTACAGAAACGTCAAGTCACTAGCTTGAAGCCCTATGTTCCATGTGAAGGAATAAAAAACAACTGGATATAAGGTATTACCATTTTGGTCAATTAACTATTCAAAATTCTGGTGGGAGGTTTAAACTGATTTTGCGGTCTAAGCTGAATCAAACTGGGTGCACCGTTGATAATCTTGGCTCTAAATAAGACCAATATTCGTTTTAGTATTTAGACCACTTTTAATTTATGTGAGTAGATCCAGCTACTGATATCAAAAAATCAGTAATATAAAAAATGTCACAACATTTCGAGACTAAATGTTATGTCGGAGTTTCAAGAATAGGCACTATATGAACACCATATCTGTGGTGGTGCAGTAAATTCTCATGGCATCAGTTTCAGTTTACAGTAACTCTTGCTTGATTCTGTTTGACTAACTTAAAATGCAACTCCTGTCTACGAAGTACTTGTGCTGTAGTTAGTCATGTGGTGACATCATCTCACCTTGGATGTACATTGAACAGTTGATGCAATGATCAAAAGCGACATGCTGTGGTTTGAACACATAAATCCAGTACGAAAACATCCCAGCAATAGTTAAAACAACAACAATTGGCAAAACAGTGGATAGCACTAAGTAATAATAATAACACACAAAAATCTCAAAATTACCTCCACAATGCCGTTAGGCAGCTACACAGATCCAAGTAATCAACAGAATTATAAAGCCAAAACCAGCCACATAAAGTACTTGAGAATCAAGTAGTATATTCCCAACAATATGGGATCAAAACTCTATCCAAAAGAAGCATACAACAAAAACAATTACGGAGGACAGTCTAACGTCAGAGCCAACACATAATCAATATCCTCATCATACAACCACAAAGAAAAGCACTAAAATTAGAGATTGAAGAGGAACGGGAGACAAATAATAAGGATCACGTCAACAAAATTACATGTAAACGTTGGAAAAATGATATTTAATCTAGGAGAAGTTAGCTGAAATATCCAGATAAGTTTCAGTATTGTAATTACATCGATCAGGATTGGTTCCCCGATTTTCCAGTTGATTTTACCCGGTAAAAACAACTGCATGTATCTTTGAGTGAATTTCTAACTGAGTTCTTCATAATACATTATTATTATAGTTTAACGAATATCGTATTGACCGTCGATTCAATTTGGAGTTAGAAAATGAATCAGAAGAGTTGAAAAAAATTAAAAAGGTATGTTCATTTGTAATGCATATTGTGTAAAATAAGATTATTTTTGGTTAAAAAGTAATATTTATACTTTATTATCTCAATGATTTACACACTTAACCTTTAAACAAAATGTTCCCAGATTTGAAACCTTCTCCAATCTGTGTTTCTTCTGTCTCAAATGCACAATTTGCAATGTAGACAAACTGGAGGAGGGAAGAGGGTGAATTTCCACCACAATTTCCTTTCGGAACCAAAATTCTACAGATCACTACAACACGTGATCTGCTTGATCCTGTCATAAATCATAATCCAGACTGCAAATACATTTGTATGAGACTATATACTACTGATTAGTTAAGATCAGTAGTTGTATATAAATCACTTCGACCTCTCGAATGTTGTACATTGCGAATTACCAACCAATTTGTGAATTTGGAATATGATTAATGTTAACACCAATTCACTTAAGAAGCTAGCCAGAAATCAGGTGGTTTCGGCTGCCTGATCTGATTCGAAGTGGACACAACACTGTTGGTGATCTCAGCTCTAAACGAGCTAGGCAGCCGTCCTGTGGTGCTTACATCATCTGGAATTGACTGGCTGGCAAGAATTACTAGTTGATATCAGTGCTGCGCGACTACTCCCGTTAATCAATGAGTAGTATCGATTTTTGTGTAAATATGCTTGCTTTCTTCTATCTTTTGAAGCTGTAAGAGACAACCAGATGCGCTATATTATTAGTACTAAAATCCTTGATTCTTATGTATTTTAAAACTAATCGTCTCGTCGCAAACTTCTATTCGTAATAGAAAGAGAGCAAACAGCATGCTAACTAACTAAAAAAAAAAAAAAAAAAAGCCAATCTACTTTCAGCTTGATTATAAAGGTGAAAACATTACAGCGATGATCAACAGAAGGCTGAGTACATCACTAGCTATAGCCTATCCTGCAGCCAAGCTCGTTCCCGTCTATCAAACAACTTGCTCGTTGGTGCAATCAAAAATCGATAGATATCCTTCTCATGTGAACTCCAACTGCATATACAAATTTACATGCATCTGCGGGAGCAGTTACATTGGAAGGACAGAAAGAAGGGCATATCTACGATTTTCTGAACATGTACCAAAAAGCTTACGTCTAAAGGGAACAAATTCTTTAAACAGTGCCATCGCCAGGCATCTCCTCGACACGGGTCATGAGGTGGAAATCGAGAAATCCTTCAAAATTATCAATAGACAAAGGAGCTCCATTCTCCTCAAGTTTGCCGAAGCAATTTCTATCAAACGCTTCAAACCAGATTTATGTGTTCAGAAAGAAGCAGTTATCAGTCTTTCCTTGCCATGGTAACTGGATTTCTTTATTCTCTAATCTGATTACGTAATCTTTGTCTTTAACCTCACCCCTCCTTTTTTTCTTTTTAAATCTGAAATTTGTTTGTCTCTTGTTTCTATGACGTGATTTGAACTCAGTACATCGTTACCAAATTTATTAGTTACTCACCATCTTACTCACCCCTCGTCTTTATTACGTAACTCCTTTACCATTGCATGCATACATCTATTCTGTTTAAACTTGAACTGCCTGTGTAAAAACTATATAAGCACAATTTTCTGAGCACTGTTCACTTACTTTGGAACTTTCTGTCAACTGACAACATGTAAAAATTTGCAAGTATGTTAAAACTTTTCTGTACGTAAACCTCACAATTTATTTAGGCTGTAAGCAGCTGATGAGAAGCCGACGAAATAAATGATGGTACCATATTATTCTGCACAAACCGCTGTTGTTCTTGCTTTATTTAAATTCATCAAGGGGAATAAATGCATGAAATTCGTCATAATTTAGGAGTAATTTTGCAGCTACTTAAAAAGCTTATCAGTAGGTGAAGTTGTAATCAAAAATATTTATGTGACAAGCAGTAAATAATCACGAAAATGATTACCGATAGATTCCAGTTGTCTTATCGCCAGATTGACTAGCTTGGTTCGTACTGGTTAATTTTAACTGTAAGACTTCCAAAGGATCATGGGAAGATTAACCACATTAGAGGAAAAAGAACAAGGAGTTCAGCAAAGATATCTTTTCAGCGGTTTGATTTTCAAAAGCTGTACAATCGCAGCTATATAGATAAGTTTATATGAATACAATTATTATTTATTTAATTCCACATAGTAACGAAGGTGATAATAATTTTCAACTTGATATGAAAGTTTAAAAGTAGGAATGTATAGATTACAATGGGCTTAGAGATAAGAATACATAGGATTAGAAAACAGTTACAACATGTACAAAATTATTATTTGATAACCAGAGAAATAATTTTAAAGGCGAATAAAAGGTGACACTTATTTTCAGCTTGATATGAATTACAAGAGGCTTAGAAACAAAAGTTTCACCGGGATAAAACAAATTACAGGCGTGAACAAAATGAGCGTGGGAACAAAGTGAAATCAAAATTTTCAACTTGAAGTGTAAGTTAGGAGGTGTGTGAATATAGATTACAAGAGGCATAGCAACAAAAAATTACACAAGATTAGAATATAATTGTGAAATAGTCATTCTTAACGGATTACGAGTGTGATCAGGAGGAGCATGGAAACAAACTTAAAATAACTGATTTTATAATTGAAAAAAATGGGATGAACTGAATGAAGACAAGGAGATAAAAATGTGCATAAAGCGAACGAAACAAACAACTGAAGGATAATGGAACATACTGAACTAGGTCGGCGGTAGTTGTAAAGGCCGGAGTAGTTTCTTTTGAACACACAGCTCCGGCTTTCCGATGCATATATCGAGAGCTTATGCTTCTGTAAATGACTCTGGATGATGAGTCAGTTGAAATTCTGTGACAGGTATTGACGAGATGTTCAGTTATGGCGCTTCTGATTGAACTAGTGCCTCCTCTTTGCAGCCGCAGACTGAAAGCACCATTAGTAAGAGAGAAAGAGTTAATATTCATTAATGCATAACACTAAACTGATTGAATATATTGGATAAACTATGGGAAGTAATAGAGAATTTATAAATTCAAATGTTTGACAGCAGACCAGGCGATCAGGAGCCGTTGGTCAGACCTGCTTCTTTTGCACACAGAGCTCTTGCTAATTTGAGACATTTTTCAGTTCCTTTTTCTGTCTGCAGTGTTCGCTATCTACAGAAAGATTCTTCACTTCTACCTTTGTTACCTGTTTGGTTGAGTCAACCTAATGTAGAAGTGTTGACGGTTTTAACTTCCCCTTTATCTAGCCACACAAAATAGTAGATGCTCCAAAGCACAAAACATTAAGTTTCTAGAGCAACGGCTAATATACGTAGCTTCGCAAGAGCAATTGAAATGATAGATACAAGAAGAAATGGAGGCCAGCCTAGGTACTTCCTCGTTCAATTGAGGAGTCACAATCCGCTGTTTGGAAAATATAAGCTTCAACATATGCAGGTAACCTAATGTTTTCAGTAGGACACCAAAAACTTTCTTGTTACTCTACTACGACATAATTTGCGTCAGTCCCTTAGTGTCAGAGTGTTCGCCTAATACACATATGGTCTGGGCTCGATAGGCAACTGACGCACTCCTTGCTCAGTGGGCAATAACCTCAGTAGAGAGAGGAAGTTGGACAAGAGACAAATAGCTTCATTGTGTAATAGAACAGCGCCTTTTCTACTGAAACTTCGAATGACAAAGCTTGAAGCCTTTTTTTTTCACTTGAAAAGTAAACCAATGACAGAAGGCAGCGTATATTTTAATTTAACTAAATCATTTTTTCTCCCCTTCCCTTAATTTAGGTCCAGTCATTTTTTCGTGGTTGGTTATGTCGTCGTCGATGGAAGCATATTGTTGAAGAGTATATACGTTCTGAGCATGCAGAATCAATGCGTAAACGTAACAGTATTGTATTCGGTCTTGTTGAATGTGAAGATGAATATGTTCAACAATTATCCATCCTGGTTACATGTTATCTAAGACCATTTCGTATGGCAGCCAGCTCTAAAAAGCCGATTGTTACTCATGAAGATGTGAATTCAATATTTTTAAATGCGTAAGTTAACTCATTAAAACAAAATATGCATATATATATTTATGATAAGATTGATAATTGGACATTTAAGATAATTTGTTTTAATTTAATTGTGTTCTCTGAGGAGCCGGTTGGTTTAGTTGCGAAGCTTTCGTTATCCGCCATCTAGACAACATCGCTTCAGCGTAGGTGTTAGTGCGAAATGAACTTAGTAGAATTCTTCATGAATGATTACATAACTGTACCCCCTAACAACCTCCTTTGTCGTGATTTGTTGTTAATTTACATCTCTATCGATCATTTTTATTGACTCGGGAATTGAACTTGCTTGCCATGTGGGGCTTCTTTTTTACTAGTTGGTAAATTTGGTCTATGAGTAAAATGTTGGTGGAGATTTGTAGACGACACGTTGAGAAACTCTTCTCACACACACAATAAAATTCACTATGGAAATAAAGAATGAAACATTGGGAAACTGCCTATGTTAGATTGCAAAATACAAAGAATAACAGATGGCAGCATTAAAACGACACTATATAGAAAAACCACACACTCTGGAAGATTCCTTGATTATCACTCAGCTCATCCACTCACGGTAAAACGAAGATTAACACAAGGTCTTGCAGATAGAATACGTAGATTTACAACAACGCCAGAGGACCAGTGTAAAGAAATAAACGTCCTATTCAAAATGCTACTCGACAACAACTACCCAAAAACATTTATCAGAGATAATATAAAATAAGAGAAAAAAGAGGGTAAAACCGGAGAATAATAAGATGGAAGAATGCAAAACAACAGTCACAATACCATGCAAAAATGGTACATCGGAGGAAATTCGAAGAAACCTCAAAAATATTGGGATTTGCACAACGTTTAAACCAACGAATCTAATTAAAAATAAAATAAATCAACTGAAAGATCCCATAAACATGATGGATAAAAACAGTGTAATTTACAAACAGATATCTTATGCCTAGTGTCCGAGTAAATATGTGGGTCAAACGTCCAGATCACTCAAAATAAGAGTGAATGAACATAAACGCCAAACCGACGAAAGGTCAACCAACAGGAACACAAACTTACAAGAATTTAGAAAAAATTCATCGATAGCTGCACATGCAGCATGGGACAGAAACCACAATATCGATTGGAACAGTGTTTGTATTCTAAAAACTAACATGAACAAATGGAAAGAGAGACTTATAACAATCGATATTCATTAAGGTCACACCGGATACACGTAACAAGGGTGACTCAGTAGCACAACTGTCAACAACCTGGAATATATAATACTGAGTACACAAAAATGAATGAACAAAACAAAATGAACTATATATATGAGTACAAATCATAAATGTGTGAATCAAACAATTCCAACAGTGGTGTGAACACAGGCAGTAATTCTGCTCGAAACATTACCAGAAAGCAAAAACTTATCATTATGTACAAACTATTGAAATATAATTATACTTTATTTGATCTATTCCACAATGCTCGAACTTTTACTAACACTATAGTAAAGTGTTTGTTAATTGCTGGCTGATTCATTTGAGTACCAGACTTCTATGAATTCCCCTGCAGCACTTTTGGTGCTTTTGCTCTGTGTTTAAAATTTTTACATTATCCCAATCGAATTTGTGTCCGTAGTTATCTACGTGCATTGATGTGACAGAGTACATATCGTGCCTTTTCAAAGCTCATTTGTTTTCTTGGATTCGGTTGGATTCGAAGGGGAAGCTCACTTTGACCGATGTAATGTTTATCACGCAGTTGATGCAATTTATTCTGTAAATGGTATTAATTTTATCTTCTTTTATTATCGGATAGATTTTTTGGTCTGCACAATTACTGAATGAAGCGATTGTGCTAGCTCATGTGCTATATTTATTTTAAACGGTCTTAATATTCTAGCTGGTATTTGGGAGATATTTTTTGTATATGGTAGAATGAATTTTCTTGTGTTCTTTGATGATGGTTTCCTGTCAGTGTTGTGACTTGAGTTTAAACGCTTTGTGATGAAATTGTGAGTATATGCATCCTTTTTGAAGAGAGTTAGTAGGTATTTCCCCCCCCCCATTCTCTTCAACATCGGAGTAGTGCTATAGTGTGTGTTTGAGCTCTTTTAAACAACGTCTCCACACAGTTTCTTTTGTGGGTAATTGGGTTATTGCTCGCGTTGATTTTCTGTATACTTCTGTTTTCTGAAACTGCCTGTGTTAGTTATTTTGAGTGATCTGGACGTTTGACCCACATATTTAGTCGGACAATCAGCACAAGATATTTTGTAAATAACATTGATTTTATCCACTATTTTTGTGGGATCTTTCAGCTGATTTATTTTATTTTTAATTAGATTTGTCGGTTTAAACGTTGTTCGAATCCCGATATTTTTGAGGTTTCTTCGAATTGCCTCTGATGCACCATTTTTGTATGGTATTGTGACTGTGTTTTGCCTTCCTCCGTCTTGTCATTCTCCAGTTTTACCCTCTTTTTTCTCTTTTTTATATTATCTTTTATAAATGTTTTTGGGTAGTTGTTGTTGAGTAGGATTTTGAATAGGACGCTTATTTCCATAATGATAAGATTTTATTTTGATAAATCACACAGTGTAGTACATTATATATGAACTTGGATTTTAGACATGTTTATTCAGGCAATAAAATTTTATAAATAGTTTTATACTACTTAAACGTTTGTTGACAGTAAGAAAAATACTTTAAAAAAGTAAAAAATAAAGATGAAACTGATCGCAAGTTTGACGAGTCGGTGGTATCTCAGTTTGAGAACAACTGAACACCAAGGAGTACTGGAAAGTGACTTCATCCTACTAAAATGGTCTACATTATCTCATAGCTATGATCCACCTGAGCTCGAATCCAGAATAATTAGGTTACGAGGCCAACTCACTGACTATCCACCCACTGGGATGAAATTTACTTAATGCTCTGTCTAGCATAACTGACAATGAATGTCATCGGATAGCGTATACCGCCACATCCAACTCGAGGGACCCCAATAGCCACTTTTTCTCACTAAATGGAGGAGCTTCTTTCCGAGGTAAGTCGGTTACTAGTAAGCATTTTAAAGTCTTATTACTCCCTGGTCTTCAGCTACACTCTAACCCATGTCACTTTGTGATGTATTTTGAAATAAATAAAATTCTGACAGAAGGACACTAGAAAATTAATTTTTTATTCACAAAGTGTGACCTAAATGCTGAGAAGATTAAAACAGATTGAAATAATGGGGAAGATGTGTAGCTCGGGTGGATGATTTTGATTGGTTGGTTGTGTTCTCTAAGCCAGTGGTTGATTTAATTGTGAGGAGCTTTCATTGTCCCCCATCTAGAGAGAGCCAATCTTATGTTGATGATACATTTGCAATAATAAAAGAAAATGTGATTTGGATTACACTAACGAATTAATGAACAAAATGTTTGAAGACATTAAATTAACTACGGCAGAAGAAGAAGAATTAGACAGCAAAATCTAACGCACCATCTCGTGCATGAATTGGCAGAAGTTGACATTCATTGACTGGCTGGCCATTGGATCAGCTTGGTCCAAGTGGCTGATGAATGGTCTACTAGCTAGCTAGCTCAAATCCCTGTGGTGGGTGGGTACTGATGAAGAGTCCCAAACCAGACTGACGAAACAACTGTCTAGTACTCCAGTTCCAGGTTTTCCAATAGTTCTCCTACTGATGTCAACTCAAGAAGAAATCCTCCATCCTATTCTGGAAGAATAAGATAATAGAATGCAAGACGTAGCGATCAAAACCGGCTGCTGGTTTAAACGCAGACAACTGATCTTTGTGGCCTAGTGTATAGCAGCCGTTTGAAACCTCCTAGAGACTGACGTACAGTCACGAAACGCTCCAAAGTCAGCAAAAAGACAATTCTTCTTCTTTGAGTCTACTTGTGGTTCTCTTCACCGAATAATAATGTCAAAAACTGAAAACTACCTCGACAGGCAGCTAACTGTAAAAGCAATGTAGGTTTCTAAGCACCAAAAACAAGTACTGTAGAATAAAGTTAGTTAATCAGAGTTCAAATGTAAGAAGAACGTTGGAATCAAGTAGAATTTCCCCAGCAAGGTAGGATCCAAGGAGACAATTGACCATGGGTCAAGATATACTCGAAACAATGAATGAAAACGGGGAATTCTCCGCCGAGATCTTAATCACCTTCAATGATTTAAAGATTGGAGGTGGCGTGTTCATCCACAGGAACATACACAAGGTGACATGGATTTCACCTGACAGGCACGCCAAAAATCAGATAGACTTCATCTCACTGTTTCTCAAGAAAGTGGAGATGCAGTGTACGAGACATACAGTCGATTAAGGGTATAGATGTAAGCTCAGACCATCATCTAATTCAAGATACCTACAAATTCAAGCTGAAATCCTTCAGAACAACTGAAGACAAGCCATAATTCTAGTTCAACACTCAAAAATTTGAAGGAAAAACTACACAAGAGGCCTTCACTGCAGAGATCAGAGGAAAGTCGAAGACACTACGTGGCATTACTGGGGAAACCTGAGTGGAAGAACACTGGAACTCTCTGAAGGTAGGTGATTCTCAAAGAAAGGTGTACAAATGTTCTAAGCAGAAAGAAGAGACACGACAAAGAATGGCTCTTAACAGATACCTAGAAGCTAATCGAGGAAAGGAGAATGGTGAAAGAGAAGATGACTCAATGCAAAGATGGAAAACAGAAGGAGAAGCTGAGTTCAGTGTACACTGCACTGAATAAAAAAGTGAAGACGAGTGGGAGGAAAGACAAAAGACAATTCTACGACACACTGGCTAGCAACTGAAGCAGAATAGGCAGGTGACAGACAAAAGAGATCTCAGGACATTATACCAAATAACTAGATCTCTATTTTGGAAGAGATCAAGTCAGACGAAAACTATAAAATTTGATCAAGGGAACCTAATAAAGGACACCTTTATCGCAGTCATCACGACAAAGCCGGCCACCAGGGAAACCACTGTAGAAGAATACTGGAACGCTCTGAAAGCGATGATAAAGGAAACCTATACCGCCATCTTAGGAAGGAAAAGAAGGCAAGACAAAGAATAGCTCTCTACGGACACCAGGAAGCCATTGCACTCGTAAATCAAGGCAACTATATGCATATAAGGCAACATTCATTTTTATATACCATAGAGATTATACATAAAAATGTTTTATTGAGAAAATCAGACATCCCTAGATGAATGCAGAAAAGAAAATAAACCCCAACGAAATGAGACAGAAATGAAAAAATCGAAATTTCTCTCCATCTGTCTACCAGTTCAATTTTACTACTAGTCTGACAGTTGAAATTATCGTTTTTTTTGTTGTCGTCTTGGTATGACTTTATATATACCAGCTAATTTTTGTTTTAACGCAAGCAATATTCTCTGTCTTCTATCCCCCTCCCTTATCACTAACCACTTTCTTTTCCTTCCCCTCGCCACAAACAAACATACATTCATGCATGCAGTGAAGCAGTCCTATTCTTACATCAAGTATTTGTACAAGGATTACGTAATAAAATGGAACATTGGCCAACTTTACAATTAGGTGAGTACTATGTTATTGATGTTTTTTTCGTATTTGTTTCCGTTTTATTATAGATTTTTTCCTCCCCAGAAAGTGTTTTTTTATATCGTCTGCAGAGTATGTTTTTTGATTAGCTGGTCAGCTAATGTTCCCTTGGGTTCTAAGTGGAACGTAAAAGAACTTCTACAGCCCATCTCCACTTTGTCCAGCTCTCTGCTATCCTCTTCAGCAGGCTACACGGTTGCGCATAGTCATTCTTCGCCACCTATCACAATTTCCTTCATGTCACCCATGGACCAATGTCCAAGTCATCGTATCCTATTCGGATTCTACTCAAGGGACTGATACGGGATTTCACACAGTGGGCTCCTCAGTTTCCGTTCGATACTTCTCCATTGAAGCGTTTCTAGATTTTCTTGTTGCTAATTCCTTCCGGCTAGTGATCTTATCTTCAGTATGGAGAGAGCGAGGGCGGCTGTTGATAAAGATCTGCAGCAGTCTGTTAGAAAATGCTTGTTTTAACGCGAATGCCTAGGAACTTAACCCTAGGTTACTATTATTTGCGAAGACGCTCCGAATCGACAATTATACTAGGTACGATTATCGATTTTAACTTCAAAACACAAGGACCAATAAGAAATTGTATTGTTCGGCAGTTAAAATCAATATTCTGTACAAAGTCTATAAATAAATGTTGTACAAGGAATGTATACTGCACTTTTATTCGTATTCCTTCGTCTTTTTCCAACTTGTACACGACTGAATCACTGGCGCTTTCGAGTTGCCCGTCAGTGGCGACCAAGGCCAATGTTCACATTCATTTACACTCCCCGGTAAAAAGGGGTCCTTCTCTTTTTTCCATCATGGCAATAACCTTGAACTGAACTGCCAACGCGGGAACCTGGGCCAACGGGGACTAGGCATACCACATCACACCAATGTGCCATCCCCGGCGTGTAGGATCTTCCTCAGTGATCGGAACTTTCTTTCGCTCTCTGTCAACAGTACCACCGCTGATTTGGTCTCCGGGGTGTTGGTTGCTTCATATCACTCTGGCACAATCCCCCTTACCGGCGTACTAAATCGCGTACAATGACTCTAACACTACTGGATTCGTTCACAATTGTAGAAGATTAGAAACGACTTCAGAAGTACTTACAATAACATTACAAGATGATTCACACAATGCGACAACTATAAATCTAACCAACAATTATATAAATTGAAACCTACTCTAGTACTTAACACAAGTATATGTACAATCAGTACATCAAATGTTGTGGATTCTGCCTTCACGTGCTACCCTTGAAGAATTGTAGGACTTACAACAGTACACCTACACTCCTTCTCAGGTTGACGATCGAAGTGGAAGATGTCCAGACACAAACAAAATTAACCGACAGAGAGATGAGAGATGATGCCGGATCAATATATGCAACACGAAAATATGTTTTGATGTGGTTGTGTTCTCTGAGCAGCTGGATAGTTAATTTGCGAAGCTTTCATCACCCTACTAGGTGACATCTTCAGCTCATACTTCAATTTGATCTGAAGTGAGCTTTTAGATCTCTCCACGAGTTTATTAATTATCTCTCCTGGTGACCTTGGACGTGGTTGGTTGTTTTTTGTGTTTTCACACCTTCTAGGCTACTTCTATTGGAACTGATTGTCCCTTTGACTTGAACTTTGACCCTTTGTGTGTGAAGTTGCCTTCTTATCGGTGGATAAATTTTGTCTATCTCGATGTGTCTATTGATTGACGATTCACTGGAATACCAGACAGGCTTCTAAAAATTCTCTAGCATTCTTGTTGTTTCCTCTGTCTAATATTTAAACATTGTCCCAATCGAACTGATGCCCGTGGTTGTCTGTATGCGGCAAGTGATATGAGGGAGTGGATGTCATGTCTTTTGACGGCTAGCTTATGTTCGTGGATACGAAGACGAAGGGGACATCCACTTTGACTAATGTAGTGTTTTTCGCAGTTGTTGCAAAAGTTACAAAAGTCCCCAAGGAAAGCACAAAGAAAGTCGCCCTACCGTATATAAAGGACATCTCAGAAATCACGGTAAGACTCTTCAAACCCTTAGGAATTGATGTTGCACACAAATCAACAAATTCACTTCACTCAGTTCTATGTCAACCAAAAGACTCAACAGCGAAAGAAGATAAAACCAACATCATCTACAAAATAAATTGCAGCTCATAGCACGCAACCACATCAAAATCATCCACCTTAGCTCCAAATCTTCTCCATCATATCTACGAACAAATGTACAAAATAACACACCAAGTACGATGGACTGTGCTTCGATGTACTATCCCTTGAAGAATTGTAGGACTTACCGACCCATATAGAAGAAATGAATGACTTAATAGTGATGTTGGAAATCCGCTTTTCGTTGTTTATGCTAAGTGTGACAGATTTCTAAAAACGTATTTCACAGTGATAAAGGTCTCGCATACCTTTCCGATTCTGGTTGGTTCTGACATCCTCACGTTTGTAGTTGACTGTAGTCTAAACGATGTTGCGTAGATATGAGTGAAGGAACTAACTTCTTTAAAATTTATTCCGTTGAAAGTGATTCGGAGCTTGTTGTTGTTATTGTTGGTTGGTTGATTCATTATTTTCATCGTCTTTGTCTTCTTCAAGGTCACTTAGAGTCCTGACCACCCTGTCTGCTTCTTCTGCCAGTTTGTTGGACAAAAATCGTGACATTTCTTGTACAGACCTAAGTCGCCCTTCTTCGGTGAACACTTCTGAATCATGTCTTTCACTAGGATAAAACTATTGCGTTGACTTAACTTACATAGGAATTGTTAAGAACGGTTGGGGAGGAGAAAATTCTTTCTTTACGTTGAAGTCACCGTCAACTAGGCTTTACATTCGTCTATTTATTGATTTAATTCCTTTCGCATTCCAAGTGGGCGTCAAGCTTCATTTGATGATATCCGATGGTTGGAGGCAATCAGCAAGCAGCCTTGGACCTAGGTTTCATGTTACCTGGCACTCACCAGTCAGCAAGGCGTATCTGCAACCTTGAAGGAAATCGTATCCCTTGCTGACGAGTGCCAACTAGCACGAAACCTAGGTCCAAGGCTTCCTGTGGTCGATTGTCTTCAAAAATCTAATATCATCAAATCAATGTGTACTGTGATAGCGAGCTACCTATAATGGTGGCCACATTGCAAACCTGACTGACTGATAGAATTCATTCTGCATCAAAGAAAGGACTAGACACATAATACTAGTTACTAACTAGTGTCCGATCAAACTTCAAGCTCCATCTTTAAATTTTCAGTAGCACTGATATTTTCACGGGACGGGTTTGCTAGCTTCACGTCCAACCTTCCCTCCTTGTCGATGTTACAGCTGGCTGAGTGAGATGAAAGTCTGCGCCGTTTGGAGATCGAACTCCAGACCACATGAGTGGATGGAGAGCATCTTACCACTGATACACCGACGCGAATTCTCCTATATGTACAGTAAACGGGTGAGAAAGCTCTTTGCTGTCTAGCCAGGCTGGGCAGTGTTCCAGAGGGCATTTCAGAATTGGACACATGATGCGGAAGAAATACTCAGCCCCAAAAGAGCAAGTGAATCGGTATATGCACGTTGAAGTCGCGATAGCTTATCTTTCACTTGTTGGCTAATAAATTTCTTGCAATTGAATGTAACTTGTAGGCTGGTAGCGAAGCACTGTTTACTGAGAGATTTTGAAAGCCAATTACGAAGAATTTCTACTTCAGTATCACTTTTAAATTTCAGAATAAATGGCAGAGATTCTGACCTGTTCAGAAGTTTTTTCCTTTGGCTTTAGATTCTTGTCGATAAACTTTCAGTGGGACACTATTTTCCACCAAGATTCCTTGGAGATTTTGCAACTATCCTTCTGATATAACTGTGTACCTAACTGAAGTCACTTCTTGACCAAGCATGAAATCAGTCGGATGCTTTTGAGCAAACGCCTGGAGTTTGATGTAGTCCTCACCAGTGTCTGACTATGGGATGGAGTTGCCCTAGGTCCTAGTGAGAGGCCATGACCAATCAAGATTACCGAATTTTGATTTGGGAACAAATACTCTTGGATGAGAATGGTTGGCGGTTACGCTGTGTATTCCACTAATCGAAAGAAGTTAGAATCCGTCGTATAAGTACAAAACTTGGGCACTATAACTCCACTATAGATAAGATTTTATTTTGATAAATCACACAGTGGTGTTATACAGTAGTATTAACTGATGACCACGTTTTGAGCACAAACTAGTGCCACTCATAATCATATCAAGTCACTCACACAACTTTCTACTTCATTTATATACATGAGTGGAATTGACTAGACATTTGAATAAAACTCAATATGGGATAATGTACATTCAGAAATAACAATAATATGAGTGTTATTGATCAATTACAATCAGATGGGAAATAAGACGAGTGTTTTTTTATTCATAATAAGTAACTTGTTAGAATGTTATGATGTACGTGAATTGAAATAGAATTTTGAGATTATTTATTATCCTCTTCTGATTTGACTGACTGGTAGTAACAATATCTTCCATATATATCTCTGGTATTTGTACTGAGTCATTTCTGTTGCATGTGTTGAGTGTAGACTCAATGAACCAGGCAGGATTCAGTGGTCAATCTCTTCCTGTCTCCACCTAACTATATTATATTTTAGAATCTTAACCCTCTCCCAACCCATCGTGTGGTTGTGTATTAATGCCTGCATGCAGTGCAATTGCTGAACTTTTATCTAAATTACTCATTTTCCCGGGGTCAATCATTCTTACCTTAGTTAAATTCTTATGTTCTTATAATCTCACTAATCCTGATCTACTAGTTTGACCTATATAGCTGACCTCACAGTCATTGCAGGGTATTTTGTAAATTATATTTTATTTTGTTTCATTGGGTCCACCGGGTCTTTTAGCCTACAGAGATTCTCCTATCTGAGTGAGTTTGTAGGTAAAAGCTCAGCGATTGCAATGCATGCATTAACACACTACCACACATT